TGTCTTCGTCTCTTTCCCTATTCTCTACCCTACTGCCTTAACTTTTTAAATAATATTTTTTAAAATCTAGAAAGGTATAAAAATAGGTCTGGATAACACCAGTTCCTCTTGGTATGGAAAATTATGGTGTTTCAAAACTGGTTCCTTTCCATTTATCTGCACTTTCTGTAATGAACACAAATTGCTTTGTAATAACAAAAACAATTTTACAGAAAATGTTAAAGAATTTTTTAAAGAAAAGATCAATCTAGGTTGGGAAAAGTGTGAGTCAGAGATATTCAGAATACCAGCTCTGAGGTCATCATTTTGTAAAACTATCACACTATTTTCCCACAAAATACCCTTTGCTCCACAGTCAGAATTTAGAGCTGGCTGAATCCACTATGCGCCTGACTCAGCATAGTATTTCCTTTTGCTCTTACACTGATGCTTAAAAGCTTGAAACTCTGCACTCTATTCATTTCATCAAATATTTATTGAGCACCTACTATGTGCCAAGCACTAAGAAAGCAAGATTAACAAGACATAGCTCTGTTACAATTTAAATAAATTACGTACAGAAACCTGTATTACTTTGAAAATTCCAGGTGATCTGATGTTTTTCTTTAGAGCAAAAGAGAGCATTTTATATGCAATGCTCATGTCCAAAAAGTCCATATTAAAATGATCTGTTCATGTTTTCACTCTTTTAATTCTTCTAATATTTTAAAAACAATGTGGGATTATGCTGAGTTGTTATAAAAAAGACCACATTTTTGTGGCTCTTCAGTATGACACCAGCACTTTTCTCCTTCTGAATCAATAGAATCTCAATTCTTTCACTTCTTTTGGTAGAAATTATTTCAATCTGTTTAGCCTTTGAGCCAAATCATTCCATTTGACTTTGAGATCCTGACTCTGGTTCCTACTTGAAGTGAACCTCTTTTTAAAAGCTAAGTAAGGGAGTATGGTTCAAATTAAAATAGCTAAGATCTGGGTAGCCAGCAATTAAACAATTAACAAACTAAAAAGGGGTTTATTGAGTCTGAGAAATTACATTACATATTACAATAAACTTTTATGGATTAGAAATTTGAGGTCAGCTAAGTAATTATAATTTCTTCATTTTTGTTTTCCATGAATTGTTCTTTTTTCCAAAAGGTGTTTTGTGGTATTTTGTTGTTGTTGTTTGCATGACAATACCCTGGGCAGAGAGATCATGTGAATCAGAATGTAATCAGATCACCTTGTAGTACTCTTTTATTTTGCAAAGAAAAATTAAGCCCAAAGAGGTAAAGTTACTTGTGTTAATCAATGGCTTTGAGTTGCGCTGTTAGAGAAGAGTACTGAATATCCTATGGACTGCCAAAAGAGCAGTGTGGCCAGAAGGATTCCTTGGAGGTAAGGATGATGAAGCTTCATCTGACACGTTAGACATGTTGGGAGGGTGTTCCTTCAAAAAGAACATCATGCTGATCCTCCATCCTTGTAAAGGTGGAGAATCCGCAAAAGAGAAAAGACCTTCACTGAGATAAACTGACACAGTGACTTCAACAATGGGTGGGCTCAAGCATGTCAGAGAGTATGAGGACAGCACAGGACAGGACAAGGTTCAGATCTGTTGTTCCTACAGTCATTGTATTTGACAGCACCTAACACCAACAACATACAGCATCAGTATATGACAATGGACTGTGTTCAGTCACCGCTGTGCTTCAGTGAACAACAGAATTAAATCCTGACAGATCCAGCACCATCCATAAAATCTCTGCTGGACTTTTAACCCCACCATTGTCGCCACTGAGTAAGTCTATCTTATTGGGGATATTCCTGGTTTTTGGGTCACAGCTAGTTGTTGTCATGTGCCATTGAGTTGAAACCAACTCATAGCTTCCGCTCCAGCAGATTTTCAAAGGCGGTAAATCACACAGGAGAGGATTCCCTGTGGAGTGGCTGGTGAAGTCTAACTGCCTGTCTTTGGGTTGGCAGTGTGGCTCCTTAGCACTAGAGCACCAGAGAATTCACAGTTATTCTTTGGACCATGTCCTCTTTCAGGTTCTCATTCCATTATTCTTATACGCTCCAAATAATTTCCCCAAATTGTTTGCGTACAGGTTCTTTGGATCTGTGATTTGCTCAAACCTCTCTTCGTACTGAGCTGTTCAGCATATTTAATGTTTTTGATTCATCAATTTCTTTAGAAAATATTTTTTTAGCAATTCATAATAGTCCGATAATGTTCTTGGCACTATTTAACAGTTAGCGGAATAATATTATTTAAAATCTGTACAAATAAGAGTTTTTTGGCCTAGTGGTAAGAAGCTGCAATGCATGGCAAAGGCATTTAAACATTTCTGGCTGCTCTGCAGAAGTATGGGCAATCCCCTCCTGTGAGATTTACTGCCTCTGAAAATCCACTGGAGGGTTAGCTATGCGTTGATTTTCACTCAACAACACAAAACAAGACTGTATAAGTATATAGATATGTTGATATGTTTGCTTCTCTTCTGGGTAAAATCTGTTCAGGTTTCTGTTTCACCTGTCATTATATTCTGAACATATACTGTTAAAGTCTATAACCAGGGTCCTGAATTTTATTTTATGATGAAATATAATATCCCTTTTATAAAGAAAATGCCTTATTTAATAATTCTGAATAGAATGGTACTTTCCACAAATCCCCAGCTGATTAGATTTAGAGCATTAAACATTTCCACATAGATTATTTTCCCCTCCTAGGCCTGAAGCATTTTAATTATTCTGTGAAATAGAAAAACTTTCATTAGTTTTAAGTATTTGCTTTCCGAATGACATGAAATAGTAAAAGTAATGTTGCTCACTAGGTCAGACCCACAGATATTGCTTTCCTTATTTGAAATATTTGTTGCTGTTGTAAAACTGACAGTTAATTTTCAGTAACTGCTAATCACTTAAAAAAAATTCTGTCTGTTATCTCCCCCTCTCCTCCTTTTGTAGTTTTTAACTGTCTCCCTCTTTCTACAGACTTACTTTAGCTACCTCCCTCCCCATTGTTATTATCCTTTACTAGTCTTGTTGTCAACACACGTTGGTCTTTGGAGTACAGATTGCTCTTCTATTTCCATCCATCTGCTCTGGCCTGATTGTCAGCAAAGTTGCTGCTCTTCAACTGGTGGGAAACCAACTTTCTGACAATCTTTAGATTCTGCTTCATTCTGGAATGGGTAGTGGAAGACATAGGATACAGATTCCCTGGTTATGTGTCTAGAATTTCTGTGAAATTCCAAAAACTACCACTCTAGACTCTTTTTAAAAACAAAAATAGCAAAGAAAGTTGCAGAACTTTCAAGAAGATGGGTCTTTAGGAATTAATCTGGACCTAAGCAAACATAACTAAATTAGTACGATTACTTTTACATATATACACACACATATATACATAAATTAGTGGTTTTATATAATTCCCAAAATTTTTGGAGAGAGGAGAGCTTAAAAATTGCTTGTCAGAACTAATATTAAAATGCCTCAAAACACATAAAAGTTCCATTGATGCTTGCAAAATAACCACAAATTGTAACCTAAAGATTTTTTTACATCCAATTCATGGGTGTTGTGATATAAAGTAGTACCATGGACGCTATAGTGTCTTTACACTCAAGCAGATAGGTTGACACAACAACTGCAGCAACACACTCGAGTATGTCGAGATGATGAGGATGGCATAACATTAGATAGAGTTCAGATCTATTGTTCATTGGGTTGCTATAAATTGTACCCAGCTGGACAATAACAACAATGGATGCCAAAACCAGTGTCTTAAACTAGTCACATGCTAGAATGACACTCACTGATATGTTACTAGGAATTGTTTCCAAATTTTTTGTTCAGGTCACACAGAACACTAAGATATCAATATATTATTACTATATGACTGTGTGTCACAATGAAAGAGGAAGGTCACGGCCAAAGTTTATATGATAGCCTGCTACCAGGTATTTAAGCACTTCACTAAAAAATTTTCAGCTGTGCATCTCTTTTATTCCTCCATACATTGGAGACTGGGTTAAATAAACAAATGAAAGCATAGGGTGTTCTAATGGTCATTGTAAGGCTTGATTTAGGGTGTTTTCACATCAGCAGAAGGTATGTTTGCCGTACCAGCAAAAGGAAGATTAAAACAGAAAAGTGGTATTATAAATCTCATAAATGGAAAAACAGGTGTTGGTGGTGGTTGTTGTAGCTTAAATCCACCATCTTCCAACTGTCTGACTTCTCACTTTCCAGAATAGGTTTTTAAGCAAACCTATAGTAACAAACCTCCAGGAAACCACAGGCTATCTCCAAAAAAGGACAGTGGGCGTTTCTGGGATGTCCTGCCTTCTTTCCATCTGGGAATTGGTTTTCGTTCAGACTGCAACATAGGGAAGGGAGGTGCGCTCCAAATGGGCGAGACTGTGCCAGTTACTCCTCTTGAGAAGAGATGAAGCTCCTCCTTTGGACGTGAGGCGCCCCTACCAGAGCTCTGGCTCACAGAAACGGAAACCACTAGCTGCGCTGAAGTGAGTCAAGTGATGAAATCAAGACTGCACGCGAAGGGAGCTCACCCAATGGCTTAGTAACCTCATTGGTGACAGAGCTGGTGAACCCTGCCGGAGGAAACCACACAAACCAACACTTGCTGCTGCCATGGAGGGGTCCTCGGAGGCGCTGAGCCCCCCACTTTGCAGGCAGTTTACCTCTTCATTTTGGCCAACTGAAGAGTAAGGAAGGGTGTGTGGGGTGAGTGGGTAGGGGACAGAGCCCTCCCGGTGTCTCAGGACCCTGGTGGGTGTGCAGCGGTCACAGGATGACCACTCCTACCAGGTAAGTGGCACTGCTGGTGTAGATGCAGACGCGCTGGGCGCTCTCAGGTCCCGAGGGCCGCAGAGAGCGCGCGAAGCTGCGACTGCCGCGAGCCCCCTCTCCCGGGCTCTCACCTGGGGCGCTCAGGTGGGGCTTGGGCGGGGCTCAGGTAGGGCTGGGGCGGGGCGGGAGGCTGGCGCGCAGGCGCGGGGCGGGGGCCTCGCCCCTGCCGACGTCGCCGCCGGGAGCTCACCTGGGAGACTCCTCGAGGAAGCCGAGCCTCGGTTCGGCCTCTCCTGGCAACGCGGGAGGCCCAGCGGGAAGGCAGGAGGCGGCAGAGGAGGAGCTCAACTGAGAGCAACTGTAGCGACAGCAACCGGAGCCGCCGCCACCTGCACCTGGCGCCCGGCCCACGTCCAGCGCCCGCTCGGCTTCCCGCCGCCCTGCCCACCTGCCAGGTGAGCCGGCCAGCCGGGAGTGGGGACGCGCTGGCCCCCGGGCAGCCCGGCGGGGGTGGCGGGCCGCCGCCGAGGTTGGCGTGTGCGGACAGGGCTGGGGTCCGGGTGGCCGGTTGGGGACAGTCTCGAGAGCGGTTCCCGTTGCCGCTTGGGGAGGGCGGCGGGGGCGCTCGCGGTCGGCGGAGGGGGCGCCGGAGGTCGCCTGGCAGCCCGCGATGTCCCTGGCCGGACCCTGCCTGTGGGAGCCGGAGAGCCGAGGTCCTGGTGGCCCTGGCCGGTCCCTTGGGGGGTAGCCGAGGGGCTGGAAGGGTGGGCTGGCTCGAGGCGGCGGTATGTCCACCCAGGCTAACAGGTTGTCGCCTTCCGCCCCGCGCCGGGGACCGCCCAGCCCCTCCGGCGAAGGGTATGGCTGTGCCAGGCCACTTCCCGGCGGGACCCCAGACACCCCGGGCTGGAAACCGCGGCCGCCCATTGCGATGGTTTCGCAGCGGTTTGGAAAGCGCTCTGTGGTCGGGACGAGGGCGTCCCTCGCGGCCTCTGCTCTCGTCTCTGCACTTTTCCGGGTGCGCTCCGTAAACCAGCCCTGCGCCCACTTTCCGGTTTGATCGGGAAGAGTTCTTTTCTTGGTGGCAGAAGGAAATCCTGCTGCCACGCACCGACCGCACAGCATCTCATTGACGGACCTGTTGACTTCAAAACAAAACCAGACCCATTGGGCGCAGGCGGACTCACGACCCTTAGGACAGGGGGGCGAGAGGTATAGCCGTTACCAGGCTGACCGTCTTCGCAGGAACGTCTTCCTCCCTCCACGCTGCTGGTGGCGGGCGAGCACTCCAACCACTGCGCCACCAGCGCCCCAACTCTGTTGACTTAAGGAGCGGTATATCGCGGCAACCGTTTGCTTGTGGCATATGACTCAAGGCTTAAAAAAACTAGGTTTCAGGATCCTGCCACGTCTGAACCTGGGTGTGCCAGGCCCAAATTCCTCTGCCTGCCTAATTAGGCTTTTCGAGAGCATAAGAATTGAGGGTGAAACTAGTCCTTACCTTATAGTCTTTTATTTCTTTTTCTCGAGACCACAAAGAACTCTGTTTTTAGGACCACATCAAATTACCATTTTATTTTTTTCCCCCTGATCTTTTTTTACTAACACCTGTACAAGTTGCATGACCTAAGGAAGATGCTCATTTTAGCTGGTTTTTTTTTTTTTTAAATCTATTGTTTAAAATTCAGAAATTTACTGAATTTGAGATTTCTGGTCGTAGGAAAGGATGCTGCTACTTTTATAGTATGACTTTTTTTCTCTATAGCTAACATACTGAAATTAAAGTCATACCCTATAATTAGATATCTTAACATTTAACTTTTAATATCTGAAGTCCAGCATGCATGAGTTTAAGCATTCTCATCTTTCCCTATTGTTTTTCCAACACTTTTTACATGAAAATTTCTAATTGGAATACCACTACTTAGATTTATTTAGTTCTGCCTTTGCTAATTTTTTTTTTTTTTTACTAAATGTTTTAAGTTGCACACTTAGCTTAAAATGCCCTCGGCAGCACATACAGTTTAAAAAGTGCAATTGAAAAACCTACCACAGCCCAGTAGGACTTGTTAATTATATTTCTGACTAGTACGTTCTGGGTTTTTCTCAGGACCTTCATTTGCCATCTTAATCTTGTCACCATATAGAAAAATGATGTGCTAAATTATTTTTATAAATTAGATGTTAACTATTGCACCCTAAGTTTAGATTATTGATTCAATCTCCATTGGTTTCTGAGCCCAAAGTTATTAGACTATATTGCTACAGCTAGAGAGAAATATTATTACTGAGTGTATCTCATTTAATATGTACAATAGGAAAAATAATACTTTGATGGAGGCCTTAAAAAAAAAAAATCTGGAATCTCCTATAACCCTTCAAAAGTCTCCTTTTGACCTTTGAAGTCCAAACAACCCATCTAGTTTCTGATAAACTGAAGACAAGAGAGATTCTAATTTGAGCTCTCAGCCATTTATTGATGGAAATGGCACTGTTGTTCCAGTGACTTAATTCATGGCTCCTGTTATCTTTACTTTTCATCACTCACAGTCTCTCTTATCATAAGATGTTTGTCTTTCTTTTTCTTTTCTCCCTTTTCATAGTTAGTAAGACCTTTGCAATTCCAGAATAGTCAACTATTCTTAATCTAACACTGTTTTACCTTAATTCCTACTTATCCCAATCATGTCTGACTCCAGGGAGGCCCAGTAAAGTTTCTACCTTCCTCTCACGGGATCCTGTGTAAATTGACAAACCCATGTGGCCTGAGATTTTTAAAAATCTTTTCCTGGTATTTCAGAGCCACACTTAATTTTTTGAGATAACATGGACAACATAATTTAGTCTTCTGATCTTTTACTGTATAGGCTTAAAGAAATATTTTCAGAGGAAGAGTCCCTGAGACATCTATCTATTTGCAATACTCGAGATTTTGGGTTGGCAAATACAGTTCCTCACTATTAGTGTTTTGAGGTGTTTTTTTGAACTTAATTGTTTTCTTATTTTACTGCAATCCTTAGTTAAAAAATGCATTCCTCAATTCAGTATATTATAGTGTGTATATACAAAATGAAACAAGTTTCACAAAATAGTATTTAATCTTACTACATGTATATTATAATTTTTATCTTAAAAATTTATCTCAGCATACATGTTGGTTTTTTGACTACCAGTAAGTTCAGAGATGTCTATGATGGACACAAATATCTAACTTATCTGGAAGATAGGCAGTCTAAAACCATGTAGAGCTGCCTCAGAGAAAAACCTAGTGATCAACTTTTTTTTTAAAAAAAAATTCATCTATTGTAATCCTAAGTAGTACTCACATTGGGCCTCCATTAATAAGAATTGACTTGATTATTTTTAACTCATTTGTTGGGTTTTTTTAATGAGCTCAGGCCTATAATGTGAAAATAATTCTTTTGAATTTATATTTCTCAAAGACTGCTTTTTTCTGCCAGTATACTGTCGCCTACCAACAGAAAAATGAAAAGGAAAAAAAAACTGTACCTTTTCTATAAAATCATACTGTAAACTTAATTAAATATTTGTTTGGAAGACTTTAGTCAGTAGGATCTGGCTGCCAGATTAAATCTTTTAAAACATAGGAAGGGTAAGCAACCTGTACATTATTGAATTTTAAATGGGTTCCCAGCATACTGTTGTTTAGGGGCAGGAAACCAGTAAAAGTTATTTTGAAGGGATTTGGATGCTAATTATCAAGTCAAGGTTTCAGACAGCAATAGATTTCTTTCCAGCTCTGTTCTAAGCTGTAAGTTTTATGACTGAATTATAGTGCTGGGTGGAGTCTGAAAAAGATTACTAAAGAAAATAGAAGCCAGTTTTTACTTTGTATTCTGTTAATATTTTACGTTTTCCTCTTTTATTATGAAACAACATAGAAGTAATGGAATTACACGTCTTCCCCTCAAAAAGTATAGACTAAGAGGTTCAATCAATGCTAATAAAGTATGTAAAATATGTCTTTTAAGCCTTTCTGGAAAAAGGTTAATAGCCAGTGGTTTCACTCTGTATAATTCAGGAGATATGAATTGACACATAGGCTATACAGAGGATGAAAATAAGCTGAGTTGCCAGTAGTTGTCTTCAGAAATATAATTCTTTTCTTTCCTTTTGTGTAAAGAGTGAAAAAGATTAGGAAACATCTTCAGCTGGACTTCACCAAACCTAACATGATTCATAGAATCCTTCAATAGAAAGCTCAGAGTAACACAATTTGGTTTCCCATTGTGCTCTTCTGTGTTAGAAAGATCAGAGATCCGAGACCTCTGGCAGTGAACCCTGATATTCTGGAACATTGATATTCAAAGACCTTGAAAACAATTGAGGAAGCTGAGAAACTGTCATTAGGGATGGTGTCCAGATATTGGATGTGGTGTAAGCCCATACACACCCTTCACGGTTTAAGGCCTCTCAGGAGCCTTCCTCCTGAAAGGTTTCAAGTCCTGCTCCTCCCTCACCCAAAGCGTGATGTACTTGCACACTTGTGTTAGATTCATGTATTTCTAGTAGGGAGGTTTAAAAGGAAGAGCAAAAGATCCCACTAAGTGACTAGCAAGAATGCAGCCTGACCAGGTAGATGATTAAGCTTTCCACAGGCACTGAATTTTAACTTACCCTCACATATCTAGTAGAAGGAAGTTTTCTCCTAAAACAAACAAACAAAAAACCAACACAATAAACATCACTGTGTTTATTATTTTGGAAATGATCCATGGGCACAGCATCTTTCTATATATTGTCTGGCACATGAAGTGTAAAAATATGTTTGGAATCATACATCTTGTATGGATATTAAAAAAAATCTCATTGTGAAGGAAGTGTTTTTGTTTACTTGTTCAATTATCCATCTAGTTAGTATCAAAGTAATGAGGTCATTTTAACACAGTGCATTGTCAGTGGCATCATTTAAGCCAAATGAGAGCCAGTCAGTGGTACAGGAAACAAGTCCATTAGCATATGGCAGAGCAAACACTAGATAGGACTCTAAATTCTAGGTCATGAACATCTGAGGACAATTAGATGAAACCTTGAGTCATCCTGAATTGGGTTTGTATTTTTGGCACTAAATAGAGAGTACTTGGAGCGCACATTGGTACACATTTTCCCTGTAATAATTTCAGTTTCAGGTTGCCCCAGCTAGTTTTTTCATCCGTCTGATTGCTAACTGGGCCTTTTTAATGCATCATAAACATCTGAAATATGCATGTCTAAGCCAAGACCTTCATCACATGAAAACAAAACTCTTTATTTTCTGTATTCTATCCTTGGATATTAGTATTATTATTGTTGTTATGTACCATTGAGTAGGAACCAACTCGTAGCAGACCCTTCAGTAGGCAGTAAAAGGCAAGGAAGGAGATTGCCCATCTTTCTTCCACAGAGGAGCTTGACATTTGTGCCTTTGGGTTGGGTTGGCAGTGCAACGCCCTAA